TTGAAATTTCCTTGAAACAGTTGAATATATACAAAAAAAGGATTGCATTTTATTAAGTACGCCTGCTCTCTTTCTGGTTGGTTGGGGTTGGAGATAAGAAACACATTCAAATGCAGATGGCCTCAAGATGGCCTGAGCTAACTTGTATGTGTACGAGTATATTTCATAACTAACTTATCGGCTATCTGTCAATGTCTTGACCAGACACTGATATACGAACGTGGTGGCACACAAGCAATCGGATCTCCCGATATTGTTGGATATTGTTGCTTCCGTCGATAAGCACATTTTGCTTGGGAAATATTAGTTGAAATATTTATAATTCAGTGATGGTACTGAGGTCTTGAAAAAGAAGTGAATTTTAGAATACCTGGCTATGAATGACTGGGTATTTTCAGAGTGAAGAGGTAAGACTAAAGCTGGTCCTACTCCTACGGGTCTACTATGAGACCAGTGAACACAGGTGGCGCCGACATATCCTGGATTCAAACCCATTCTCATGTACCAGGGATGACGATGTTTCAGCCACACAGCGTTCAAAATAAGTAATACAGTCAAAAAACATTTTTCATCAATTCATCAAATCTATATGACGGTTAATCAAACCTAAATTTGCATAGTAAAACAGTATATTTCGGTGTGGCAATTTTAACAATTAACTGAAGTAATTCATTTGACAGACAGATAGACAGATATTTTATTCAGTATAAAGGCCAAAGGCTCATAAAACTAATAAATTTCACAGTTGACATAAGCGCACATAAAAGTTAGGTTTATGTTTTGATAGTTGCTGTTCTAGTTTGATTGATTGATTGTTTGTTGTTTATTTAACGCCGCACTCAGCAATAGTCTAGCTGTATGGCGGCAGTCGAGTCTGGACCAGACAAACAAGTGATCAAAAGCATGATCATCAATCTACTCAATCGGTTGAACTGAAGTAGCAGTAACGTGTGCCGACAAACATGTCTTTTCTGAATTGTGGCCAATGGCTTTTTGAAACTAGGAACAAACTGCCTAGTAATATTCCTTATTCAATCGGCAGTGCCAGTGATCCAGCTGGTGTAATTCATCATCGAAAACTTCCTGCTTTGGTTGGCCTGTAATGCTTACCTTTACTTACCTTATTACAATGTTCAGCCGTGTAATACTTACAATTATTCACATTCATACAATGAATAGACGTGTAATACTTACAATTACTTACATTAATACAATGTATAGCCGTGTAATACTTACAATTATTCACATTCATACAATGTATAGCCGAGTAATACATTCCTTTATTTACATTAGTACACTGTACAGCCGTGTAATACTTACAATTATTCACATTCATACAATGTATACCCGTGTAATACTTACAATTACTTACATTAATACAATGTATAGCCGTGTAATACTTACAATCATTCACATTCATACAATGTATAGCCGAGTAATACATACCTTTATTTACATTATTACACTGTACAGCCGTGTAATACTTACAATTATTCACATTCATACATTGTATACCCGTGTAATACTTACAATTATTTACATTCATGCAATGTACAGCCGTGTTTATAATTATAATGTACAGTTGTGTAATACCTACCTTTATTTACACTGGTAACCTCCCAAAACTTAGACCGCCATATCTAAGACGGCTTAAAACAACAACATTTCTGGTTCAGTGCACAACTAATCCTCAAGCTGATACCTATTTCTTATCATGGATCAGTCCAGTAGAATCAATTAGACAAGACGATATGTTCATTCAGCATATTTATTACAAGTTCAACAAAGATAAAAAAAATAAATAGTAAATATTAAATATGGTAATACGTTGATCATGTCCACTGCATTTCCACAATATTTCCCTAAATTATAATATTTGTACGTAACATAACATTTAATTTGCACATAACATATAATACTTACTGGTCATTTTCATGACATCCTTTGTACATTAAACAAAGTATTTTTCTGATACAAAATTTCCGTAACCAAGATGAAGCAAATGTCCAGCTACATCAAGGAACTGCATGTGTGTTTTCTTGGCTTGCTGAAGTTGCTGCTTAAGTCTTTCCAATCTGTTGTCAATCTCGCGGTAGATTCTCTTTCCTCTGGGTGGGGCTGCTCCGAAAAGTTAACTGCGACAGCTAAGCTCTATCAGCAGTCTCTATTCTCCTGATAATTTCGATGAACCGGAAGATGTTAGGATGTCGGTGCGGCAGGGTGCGGTTCATTCTGTTATGAAATCCTGCCAGATTGTTGAGTTCTTTGGTCTTGAGTCTCAGGGTGGTTCCATAGGGCAAGGGGGAATCGCGCTTTGTAATCGATCCAGGTACTCAGGATACCTGTCAAGAAGAACTTGAGGTGTACCCTTCTGTGAAGTAACAAACTCTGCCTTTCGAAGTCCAGCCACATTGCCATAATGACCTACTCTGGGGCAGGACTTTTTATATCATTAATGTAATACGATTTACACATATTTACAGTTTTAAGTGTTTTATATATTTCAGAGGTACTCCACTTAGAACAGTTGACCCCTTTCACCTAGTGAGGAGATATTCAAATGAAAACGAACGCATCTTTATACTTAATCCCGCTTGTACAGTTCATATCATTTACCTGTGAGTACAAGCTAGGTCTACTCAGCAGGGAACACTAATTAGGACTGTTCCATTTCAGCCATGGTTGTTGTTTTAATTAATCCCTTTCATTAGTGTCTTAGTTATGTCTGTCTAAGTTTTGTCTGTCTGAGATATGACTGTCTAAGTTTTGGGAGATAACCTTTACATTAAAAGAATGTACAGCCGTGTAATACTTACAACTATTTAAATTAATACAATGTAGAGCCGTGTAATGCTTACAATTATTTACATTAATACAATGTATAGCCGTGTAATACTTACAATTATTTACATTATAACAATGTACAGTCGTGTAATGCTTACAATTATTTACATTAATACAATGTATAGCCGAGTAATACTTACAATTACTTACATTATAACAATGTACAGCTGTGTAATACTGACAACTATTATATTTACAGTAATACAATGTATAGCCGTGTAATACTTACAATTATTTACATTAATACACTGTATAGCCGTGTAATACTTACAATTATTTACATTAATACAATGATTTACATTAATACAATGTAGAGCCATCTAATACTTACAATTATTTACATTATAACAATGTACAGTCGTGTAATACTTACAATTATTTAGATTAATACAATGTATAGCCGTGTAATACTTACAATTGTTTACATTATAACAATGTACAGCTGTGTAATACTTACAACTATTTACAGTAATACAATGTATAGCCATCTAATACTTACAATTATTTACATTAATTCAATGTATAGCCGTGTTATACTTACAATTATTTACATTCATAAAATGTACAGCCGTGTAATACTAACCTTTATTTACGTTAATACAATGCACATTTGTGTAATTCTTTAAATTACTTACATTAACCTACATAATTGTAAGTATTACACGGCTGAAATACTTACAATTATGTAGGTTAATACAATGTGCAGCCATGTAATACTTACCTTTACTTACATTTATAGTAAAGGCTCTGAATATCCTTCTGATCAGCATGTTCGACGTCCCACATCAGACCGATTGGCCCGTGGTTTAAGCAGTTAGATTTCAGTGCCAAAGTGAACAAATATGAATAATATTATGTTCTTTTCACGGAGTTGTTTTTCCATTTGAAGTTCGTCAGTTTCAGCCTGTGCAGGGAAAAGTTGTGTCCGGAGAAGCGTTTGGAATTGGTGTGTGAAATACCATAGAAGCAGAGAACATCAATAAAACTTTTGTCCAACCTTATGGCTGAATAATAATAAAAATAATAATAATTTTAAACACTCAAATCACTCTATCAGACAGTGGGGTAAAATGGAATTTTGACAGTCAAGAATTTCTGTGATGAAAACGGTTTTACATCCTTGAAGATTTGAAGCTTAAATTTGATATAAGAGGTACACATATAAGTTTTTTATATGTTTTGCATATTTTACCTGAACCTTGGACAAAGATTATAAAGGAATATGGATACATAAACATCAATGACCTTCAAATTTCATGTCCCCAAGAAAAGATTCAAGATCATTCTATGGTAAATTGTTATCTGCACAGAATTGTTTGTACCAAAACGGGACATTTTATAATGAGTCCTAACAATACACTGTGTTCTTTTTATCATGTTTCTAGTGAAACTTTATGCCATGTACAGTAGGAATGAGATGGAAGCATAACTCTCTGGAAGAAACTTGAACTTTGGATTCAGGAATTCAAATTGTCCAAAACTGTGATTTGGTTTGGCATTTAGGTACGAGCCCATTACTAAATCAGATAATCTTCTCTGCTAAGCGATATATTTATACATGCTCCTTGAAAAACATAAGTCCAAAAGTTGATAATTACCTAAAGATATTGAAAGACATAATCACCACTGAAAAATTCATTTCCAGAAGAAAAAATAATTTTGAAAGGTTCTAAACCAAATGATTTCATCTCTTCCCAGTATTTAATCTTGAATAACTATTTAACCAAACTATATTGCTGTTGATATTTATTTAATGTATTATATCTCTGTTGAGCCGGTATTGATACCAAAATATATAGTTTTCTACGTGATTGTATTCAACTTATTAGGAACAATAAAAAATATGTTTCAAAATCTTCACTAACAGAGTTGGACGAATATCGGCTTGAGAAGGGGCTTGATATATAATGGTTTGAATGATTAGACGCTTGATGCAATAGGGAATTGAAGAATTAGAGGGTTGAAAGAACAAAAGCTTGAAGGATTAGGGGCTTGATGGATTAGCAGATTGTGATTTTCTTTGAAATAGCTAATAATGCTAAATTCACCATTTACAACGAACCCGCTAACAGAAACTGTTTTTCAGCTAGGTTGGTCACAGTGTGACAGGCACCATGTAGTCAGGCATGCTTGTTGACAAACAACGCAGATCGGTGTTCTGTCCTTGTTACATCTTTATTGTGAGGAATGCGTAACACAAGAGACATTTTTATTCAGTAAAAGGCCTCTTGGCCAAAGCGAAAACAGAAAGCAGGATCATGCAAGCTCAACTGATATCAGATCTACAGTTAAGGATTCATTTACTTGACATATACATGGATTTCTAATAACATCAGTACACTCACTTTGCATGTTGAGCAACTTAACTCACGCTTAAATGCTTTTCAGCTGCAATAAGTACACCTGGTACAGGAGTACAAACTGTAGTAACTACAGCTGATTTAGGTGAAGAAACTGAAATACACATACACTGACTACAGTCACCATAGCTGGTGATGGCGAAGTAGATGAAGAAACTGCATTAAACACATCTGGTGAAGGCGAAGAACCTATTTCTAGTACTTTCGTTGGGTTGGTTCGCATCCTGAATTCGAACCCATCCCCACATTTCTCAGGCACCTAATCGCCAGCACACAAAGTCAGCCACCCACAGGAGTGAGTGGTGATGGAGATTAGATGCTTGACTCTTAGAGTGTGAATTCGAATCCCAGATTGACTCAACCCAACAAAAGTACTAGAACATGTACTCCCAAACATTTTACCACTTTCTAAATTCTTGTGGCACTGTGTATTCATAATTACTGATACTTGGTAAAACGTATTAAATTCTCATCTACTGATCTATGCAATGTACCTCCACAGACTCGGTAGTCAGATCTGATATCATTGCATAAGTTCTGTTGACAAATTTCTGATCTGCACAACAGGACGCTCGTTTGTTTCTCTACAACACTTACAACAACAAGTCCAAACGATAATGACAAGAGATAATAGAAGAGAAAAGATGGCAAATGAGACATCAAGACTTTCTAGAACTTTGTTCCCCAAACTTAGCTGCTTGAAGGATGTGGGTGATTTCTTATTTTGAACCCGATCACTTATGGCTCGAACATTGCTGCATAACACCCACACGGAATACACGAAGTTGAATGTACTCTCCATGAATTCAAACGTTGGTACGAAGGCAAGACAGGAACACAAATACTGACAGCAACTTGGGCAGGGTGCACATGGACATGTGCATTGGCAGCACAGACACCTACACGGATCCATCGTACACAGAGGCTCCAGCGGGTCATCCCTGAGACAAGGCTCTTGACAACAACACAAGCAGCACACAGATCGGCAACAGACGCATCTACCGTACGTCGTCAAAAACGACAGTGCCGACTCTTCAGATTGTAATGCCATGAGTGTGATTTCATCAAGAGCAACTCTTCGGACAGGAACCACTGGGAGGACGTCATTCTTGATGCACTTCCTGTTGTCGTGTCTCCGCTTGCGTTCGGTTAGTAGTTTTCCAATATTTGCCAGGAGGGATACAGCTGCACCACCAATAGCTAGATTATCAGCTATCTTGAAATTGTCTTCATTAAACAGAAATGCAAACGCTATGATGATGATCACATTTCCAATGGAACCAAGGAACCTGAAGATGATATCACAGTATCTGCTACATTGATGCTTCTCATGCAGGTCATCTGCACATGACAGAAGATGGGGTACTGTATCTTGATTCTGAAATATTTGAAATAAAATATGTCAGAGAAGCAAACTTATATGAAGTTATCGTTGTTTTTTTCTATAAAACTTGACTGATTTGCTAAACTAAAGTGATGAAAGAAAAGACTAAACACATGTCCGCAATCATATGAAATATCCATTATATGTTTCATAAGAACGTATTATGAATAACCATCGGGTAGTGATGACACCAGGTGTTCACCTAAGGGTGGGCGTATGCTGCCGCATCAACAGTGTCGCGTCTCCTAAACACAAGCACTAGTAAGTCAAATACTCAACTGAACACACACAGAAACAGATGGTACAAGTCAAACTAGGAAAACATATATTTTACCTACATGCGTTGTCAGTACAGATTTAAAGAGGCTATTGAGGACTGATTTAAAATCGGTCCTCTATATTCACTAGAGTATTTATTGAAAGGTGAGGATCTTCCGTTTTGTATCATTAATGATGAGTAAGTCACTGTCGGTGTTTGTCCTGCTTGACTATGAATGTTTGCTTCACGAGGGTTTCAACTTTAAAAGGTGTTTGTATTTCTTTAATGCTTATTCAATCGCTGGTATTTTAATGGGATTTGTATTCATTTTGAAAAATATATAGCCGGGACCTTATGATTATGTAACGGCTAGTCAGTAGCTATACAAGAATTGAACTGCAGAAGATACTTACTTTTAGAAATACAACTGTTACGACGTAAACAGTAATAAAATCGTAAATTGTAATACTTGCAGCAAATTGTAATAACCCTTGACGTAAATTGTAATAAGAACGTAAATGGTAGGAAAATTTGACATAAATTGTAATACGCAAATTGTGATAAAAATGGACGTAAATTGTAATAATATAGGTGGCGGTAAAATGTAATACATATTTACGTAAATTGTCATAACAGTTTTCATCATTCGTAAATATGCGTGTGTTCGTTTTTCGTTGCATTTCATACATCATATACGCTTGTTAGGGCGATAACTCAAAAAAGAAATGATGGATTTTGTTCAAATTTGGTACCAAGGTGTCGTGGCGAGATTCACCGACACCAATTGAATTTAGTTACGTTTAGATAACTTGCAAGGTCAAAGAAAAAATCTTAGGGGTTTGACAATATAAAACTTCTTAGCGCAATAACTCAAGAAAGAATTGACATATTTTGCTTAAAAGTAGTAACCAGGATCTAGATTTTCGAAGCTCTCTTAGCGCTAAGATAGTTGTAAGTGCCATACATTAACATTAACTTGCGACTATCGTTCTTGAGTTATTGCGCTAAGAAATTTTATATTGTCAAAACCCTAAGATTTTTTCTGTGTTCTAACAGGTATATCTAACACACTAATGCATGTAGAGTTGGGGTGTGGGGTGTGGTGTTCTAACGGCTATATCTACGAATGGCGTTCAAAACGTAGTCATCCTCACCTAGAATATGATACAAATGCAGCTGTTTTCATGTTTTATTTTGTCTGCATATTATCTGTCAAGCTATGTTGTTGCTATGTTCCAGCCTCACGATCCCTATTTTGTTTGCCTTTTTATCTTGGTATTCCCCAAAAACGCAAAATCTTCAGTATATGCATCACAAACTTCGGGAAACAAAAAGTGCAAGTGAGTGAGTTAAAATTTTTACGTCACATCGTAATATTTCAGCCATATCACGACGACAAAAAAAGAATAAATATATAGAATATTATGTACTTTTTTATAACCTGTCAACAAGGAAAGTATAACAACAACGATCATACATTAATAAAAACTAGTTTGAGGTCAGTGTAAGATGCTAAATTATTTAAAAACAACACAATAAAAAAATCGGGCTATAGATCGCCAGCAACTATAGGTAGATCACCATGCTAGAGACCATGGGGAGTGACGTTACTTTTGCTACCTGCATGGTCCCTATCTGGATTTATATCATCCCCTCGGCTGTTGACGAATTTTGGCGAAGCCATAAACTACATATATCTACAAACATGATCAACATACATTGAATGATGTGGTCTTAAGTGCCCTCTTCGAAGGACAATTATTTTACGCTACTTCAACCCCCTCCGAGGGTACAGCCACTAACAGCCATAGTTATGTATTCATTCGACCAAATTTAAAAAATAAGGCATTAATCACAGTACATATCGATCAGAGTTGAGAGAGAACGGTTGTTGTTTGAAGTCACTAGCCATTGTCGCTCTTTGCTGTTTCCTCTGATGACTTAACCACACGTATTATTATATCAGCTCATATTTATAAAATGTTCACCTAAAGGAAATATATATCTGCTCTCTTTGACCGTAATATGGTAATATTTCAGTTACACTTTGTATATCAAAAGTTTATAACTTTCCAAGGTTCTTGTTCAAGTTCGTGCTTTGAACTCTGCCCTTTGTTTATGTACAGTAAATTGACAGGTTGCGCCATTCTCATGCAGTTTATACTGTTAGTCTCAGTCTGAATACTTGTCATACACGCCCTCATATCTTATATGGACTGTCTGAGACAAGCGGTGGAGGTAAACCTTGTTTGTTGTCAGTAACCTAGACATTCTGTGGCTAGTTCCAAGGCGACAAGATTTTCTGGAGGGTGGAAGGTGTCATACTGATGTTGTGGCTGACACTTCTACTGCTGCTGAGAGATTTTACACGATAGGCCCTGTTATTACTTTGGGCCAAGGACAGAGTTTGTTGCGTGTATCACTGTTGGGGCTAGGTGACCTCGACTTTGTTAACTGCTGAAAATTAAAGATAAATAGACTGCATTTCTAAGGAGAACTATTGTGGTGATCCATTACGTTTCAACCACATAAGCCACAAGAAAAGTGACACAAACATTACACAAATTGTATGTCTGAAGTTTTTGATTTACATAAACTAGCTCACATGATAAATAACAAAATGTTGAGAGGCAGTCGTTTAATGTAAGATTGTGATTGTGTAGGTATGTTTACGAAAAGCTTCATGTTAACCTTGCCAGTGGTTGCATAATTAAGGTCAACCAAAAGATAAGTGATCTTTTCCAAGAAGCTTGACGAGATAAATAGTCTGTATTTCTAACCGTACCTATTGTGGCGATCCATTACGGTTCAACAACCAAAGCGACACAAACATGACCCAAATTTTATGTCTCTAATGTCTGACGTTTACAATTACATAAGGGGTGGTGGTGTTTCCTAGTGGTTAAAGCGTTCGCTCGTCACGCCGAAGGCCCTGGTTCGATTCCCCACAGTGTGGAAAGCACAGGTTACGTCACACAAAGTATTTAAGTCGTTATTCGAAGCATATAACGTACGCATGAACGAAATCGGCAGTTCCGAATGGTGATAATAGTGACAGAATATTGCTAAAAGCGGCGTAAACTCCGCCTCACTCACTACAAATACATAAACTTTTACATTTTTATAAGTTAGGATAATGTTTTAAGCAAGTGTTTTTCTCTATTCGCCGTCCTCGGTGATTAACTAGGAGTGAGTTAAAATTTAAAGTCACATCGGCAGTATTTATGCCATATCCTGACTGAGAAACTTTTAAATTTATCAATGAATTAATTAACAAATTTAAAGAATATACTTACTTGTCTGCAAAGGACAGTAAAACAACGAGATTATCACAGATATGCATTTAAAACTAGTAATTAAATCAAAAATATTTTAACCATAAGTGACAATACAATATAAAAACAGACTGTAGAATGCCAACAACTGAAGGTAGATCACCTTAGTAGGGACCATGGAGACTTACAGTAGATTTGCTTCTTGCATGGACCCTTGCTTGGTTTACAGCATCCCTTCAGATGTTAGCAATTTTGGGAAATCTAGTGAGTGAGTTAATATTTAATGTCATATCGGCAATATTTCAGCCACACCGTGACGAGAACATATTTGACATTGAAATGGAATATATACTAGGCACATAAAGAAACTGTGCATACAAAAATTTAAAATCTAAATTTATTAAACCTGTGTAGACACATAAGGATCTAAACTCAGAGATGAGTGACATGTATCCAACATGCATGCACGTGCCACGTTCCGTGACGTCAGTGGGTTCGTCCTTGAGACGTGCAATACGTTGTTGCACGTGCATTCCGGGAAAGAGAAACAGAGCAAATGAATGCCACACAATACTGTCACTTTGGAAAGCTCAACCCCTGCCCTTGCGATCGTTCAAAAAATTAAACGGCTATTGAAACGCATAGCATGCCAAGGCTCACGTCTGCACAACGTCATGAGGCCATTGGGATGGTCCGTGGGGAAATGTCTCAACGACAAGTGGCTGCACATTTCCACTGCCACCGGAACACCATTTCTTCTCTGGTGAGACGCTACCAGAACGCAAATGACGTCATCGATCGGCCACGTTCTGGACGTCCACGTGTAACAAAGCCAAGACAGGACAGATGGATGAGGGTGACCCATCTTCGCCACAGGTTTCAGACTGCAGTGATGACTGGCCCAACCATCCCAGGACATCGCCGTATCCACCCCAACACAGTTCGACAACGTTTACGTCATCACCGGATCAGACCACGACGTCCCGCCATACGGCCTATCCTGACACAACGTCATCGACAAGCTCGCCGAATGTGTTGACGAAATCATGTCCGCAGACCCTTGTTTTGGTGGAGAAATGTTGTTTTTAGAGATGAGTCCAGGTTGAACATTTCCAATAGTGATGGATGTCAACGTGCCTATAGACGCGTGGGAGAACGTTATGCACAGGCCTGTGTCTTGGAGAGGAATCGCTTTGGTGGTGGTTCCGTGATGATTTGGGGTGGATTAACAGCACGCCAAAGAACTCCTTTGGTGATTGTTCAGGGCAACTTAACTGGTGTGGGCTACAGGGATCAGATTCTTCGACCTGTGGCAATTCCTTTTCTGCAACGTCATGGCCCTGTGTTAACATTCCAACAGGACAATGCCCGCCCTCATACGGTAAGGGTTGCTATGGATTTCTTGCAACACCACAACGTTGACTTACTGCCTTGGCCTGCAAATTCACCGGATCTCTCCC